CCGCCGCATCCCTGGGTGCGCGCGTCCGCAAGCTGGGCTGGCGGCAGTCGCTGCAGGAGTGCAGGGGGAGGCTCCTAGCTGGGGCCCTGCCACCTCCTGAAGAGCAGGCACAGCCTCAGGGCACCCCTGGCCAGGGTACCAGTTGTGGTTAATTAGCACTCAACTAGACGACAGTCAGTTAATGAACCCCCATGCCGGGCTGCGGAGCCGACCCCGACCCCGAAGAGGCCCCCCCCAGCTCGAGCCCTTCATCCTGGACCCTGGAGTGGCGACGACCGGCCTCAGGGGGCTGACAGTTGTTGCAGCCAGGATGGTGGATGGGGACCCCAAAGGACCCGTTGGAGCCACTCTTGGGCCACTTCATCCACTGGAGAGCTAAGCTCATCCCTCTCCGTGCCCCCTGCTCACTTCCTCTGTGCACAAGCCCAGCTGGTTTGGCCCTCTGCACTGTCCCCATCTCTGCCCTTCCCAGTCCCTGTCCCCCCCAGCAGCACCCCTCAGTGGCTTCCCAGGACATGCCAAGCTGCTTCCTGCCTGGTCAGGGGTCCCTGATCATCTCAATATCCCATCACTGCAGCACTGTTCTCTCTAATATGGAGATAAGTTCACACTGAAATCAGGATACTCCAGTTCTCTCAAAAACCCCCGAGTTGGCCATAAAGAGCTGCTCCTGGGGTGGCATGTGGGAATGCCCCACTGGAGGGGCACAGGAGCCCTCCTGTGGCCACTGTGCCTCCCCGCCTTGCTTTCTGCATGCTCCTATGGCCGCTGCACATGTGGCCCCACTTTCCATCTTGGGATTCTTCCTGGCTCTTCAGGCAGTGGAGTTCGGGGCTTCCCTGCTGGTCCTTGCCTGAGAAGCCTGCACTCTGGCAGCTTCACCCGGGACTAGGAGCTCGGGAAGGCAGGGGCCATGTCTGCCTCATCAGAGGAACAAGGGGAGCCGGAGTCTAGTTTTGGAGGCAGAAAAATCTGAGTTCACAGGAGCCTCTTCCAGTCAGGTAATGAGGCAAATGTTTGCCTTCTGTCTGTGGAATGGGGTCGGCACCCGGCTAGCCAGGTGTCTGAGGATACGTGAGCGTCTCCCCCCTGCACGGGGCAGGTATGCATCTTCCTCTCCCCTGGGAGGGCCAAGCAGAGCTGTCTCTGCCCCCTCCTATCTCCTGGGAGACCTCACACGTGGAGAATCCACTCACTCCTGGAATCTTTAACCTCCCCATCTGCTGGCTTCTGTCCAGCATTGGCTCATCTTCATGGTTCTCTCATCTTAAAAACATGGAATCCCCTCCCTCTCCTGCCCTTGGTGGCCAAAATTCCTCGAAAGATGCCCCATAGTAGTTCCATCCATATCCTCATCGACATGACCCTCCTTTCCTCTCTCCAGCTTGGCCTCTGCCCCCTCACTCCATCCAGATAGCTCTCTCTCATGTCACTAGGGACCCCCATGTCGCTAAACCTCTCATCTCATTCTACCCCTAGGCAGCTCTGGACAGCTCTTCAGTGGCTGCTGAGAGAACACCCTTGGTTCCGCCTTCCTCTCAGTTCCTTCACCAGGCTCATCGCTCACCTTTACATAATGCAGACCTGCAGCGAGGTGTCTTCCCAGATCAGCAGTTTTCTCCCTGAGAGCATCTCTCCTGTCCGTACCTGAGCACCTGGCTCAACCACAGCCACCCTTTCTCTCTCTTCCTCTTTAAAAAATTTTTAAAAATTTTTTTTGTGTGTGTGTGTGGGGGGATTAGGTTTGTTTTTTTGTTTGTTTGTTTTTAAATGGAAGTACTGGGGATTGAACCCAGGACCTCATGCCTGCTAAGCACGTGCTGTACCACTGGGCTTATATCCTCCCTCACTTTCTTCCTTTTTTTCCCTTTAATTTTTTTTATTGAGGTAACATACATACTGAGTTGAGTAAGTCAAAGAGTTCTCCCAAATCTAGTCTGAGGCCAAGACAAAGGAGTCTGGGAAATGGAGTTTGCAGTCTTGCAGTAGAAACAGTACATGGCAAGTAAATTGAAGGGAACCCTCGTGTGCAAAAAGCCTTGATTCTCACATGACTGAGTATGGATTATAGACTGACGATTGTTTCTCCCTAGAATTTTAAAGACACTGCTTAATCTGGCTTTCAGTGTTGCTACTGAGGGTATCCAGGGCCATTTTTTGATACCCAGTCCTTTGTGTGTGACTGGTATTTTCTCTCTGGAAACTTGTAGATCTTTTTTTTTTTCCCTTCCAAACCTGTATTCTGAAATCCCATAAAGGACACTCAGGCAGCCGCTTCAATCTGGAAACTCATGGTTTTCTGTTCTGAGAAATGAATTTGAGTTATTTATTTGATAATGTCCCCCTTCTGTTTTCTTTGCGCCTTTTCTGGAATTTTGATTACTCAACTATTAGACTTCTGTTCTAACCCTCTAAAGTCATTTCAACTTCTCTTCCATTTTTCATCACTTAACCTCTCAGTACACTTTCTAGAGTATTTCCTCTTCATTATCTTCTAACCTTTCTGTTGGTTTTATTTCTGCTAGCCTGTCTTCAATTTCCCAGAGCTTTTTCTTAAACTATTGCATTTCTCACACATGCTGTTCTTGTTTCATGATTGCAACGCTTGCTCCCACCTCTCTGAGGACAGCTAACTTTGTTCCTGTTCCTTCCATCTTCTTTGCTCCGGTTCGTTTTTAAAAATATGTGTTTGTCTCGTTTCTCCCATTGAAGGATTTCCTTCGATGCCAGGTGACTCTGGGCTGTTCAGTCATATATGCGGAGTGAGTCACTCTGCATACAAGAGAGGGACTTGAATAACTGGAGAACTCTGCCATGGGGAGGGGTGCCTTCAAACACCTGTTAGTATTTTCTCTTGGGACACTCAGTTTTTCTAGAAAGGACTCATTTAATCTCTTGCCTGGAAAAGTAAGTTGATCATTAGCATTCTAGGAGCCTAACAGGGAAAAGAGATGGAAAGCGGATTCTCATATTACAGAAAGCAGGTGTCATTAAATCCCCCTGGTTTCAAGGTAAACTCTCCCTGCCTTTGGCTCTGCCCAGTGTTCCCAAGATCAGAGCCTATTTGGTTCCAGGCATCTGTCAGGGTGGATGAGGCTGGGAAAAGGAATCCAGTGATGTGTTCAGGTACCACCTCATTAGGGTGGAAGGAGAGAATGGATTTGGTGGACCGCTAGCAATCTCAGCTCCACAAAGTTGGGGGGAAAACTGCACCTTAAGGCTTGGTGGTAGCTCAAGCCCGAGAAATAGGAGGTTCTCCTTTCAAACACCTTGATCAAGCTACAGCTATTGGAGAAAAGCGTGTTTCGCCCCATTTTGTGACTGAAGGCACCAGGGCTCAGAGGGTTAAGTTAACCCCTCCCACAAAGGGGCAAGCTGGGGTCAGATCCTGGCCGGTGGGATTCTAAAGCCAACACTCTTGTCCACTCCACCCAACTCCCAGCCCAGCAGTTAACGTAAAACCTCAGGGACCACGGTGCGCTCAAGGTCGCCACGCAACTATCAGCGAGTGTGTTAAACATTTCTAAACTTTATTTTCTTTATCTGATCACAAAGTTAATACCGCACATTGCAAGCATGTTTTAAACTTGTTATGTTCATTCAACAAAGATTTACAGGTTGGCTTTCAGTGTGCTGTCTATACTAGCCCTAGCAGAAGTATGATGCAAGATGCAAAGTAGAGAAAAATCTTCACAGCCACATTTAGAGGCGTGAAGAGAAATAGGTCAAATTCATTTTAGTAATGTATTTTATTTATCCCAGTATATCCAAAATAGTATCATTTCAATGTGTGATTGAATTTTTAAATCATTAATTTTTAACTAAATATTCTGCACATGCAGCGCATCTCCATTTGGCCACATTTCAAGGGCTCAGTTGTCGCACTGGCTACAGATTTCCAGATCAGACAGCACAACCATAATTTAGAAAGTTTAACTCTCGTAAAATCCCAGCCTCCAGAGACAACCACTCTTAACAGCTAAAAACACAGTCTTCCAGATGTTTCTTATAAAAATCCCCAGGTATATGTATTTGTGAATTCATCGGGAATCTTTCAGTTGCATGTGAAAGAAAACCATCCTGAACTTGCTTGAGGGGGGAAAAATGCTGGGAAGCATCTATTGACTCCTAACGGAAGCCATG